TATTCCCAAGATTTGAACTGCAGTGTCTTGGAGGCACTGAGAAGTTTTTGATTGTGTGATTATTTTGAAACTTCATTGAAGGTTTGGTTGTCTCACAGTAGAAAATGTAATCTAACAGTGTTTGTCTTGGATTCTGATCTCAACCTTGCTGCTACTCTGATCTTAGGTGCTTTATTGTACTTTGGTTTGCAGACTAGAAGGACTGGAAACATCACATCCCTCCTGTGACTGTTGTAATGAGAAACACTGTGGTTCTTGATATGCAGGAGTTAGTGCTGGTACTCCAGCAGTCTGCATGAGTCATCACAGAATTTCACATTTAAGTGATTGATTAGTTTCTAAAGTTGCCATGCAGCCTTTTTAACCAAAACCACAACAATCTGTTAGAGAATGTTTTCTGTAAGGGCCTTCCATTGCTCTGAAGAATGAGAACCTAATTTACTAATTAAGTTAAGGACAGTAGCGCATAACAGATAAGACTTTAGGTATTTAACATTCCGGAGGAAGAACTTCTCTAAAAATGTTGCTGATCATGGCTGAAGTAGAGTAGTTCACCTGAACTAAAATGTTTTGCTTTGCTGTCTGTCAGCACTGCAGCCATGGTCTTCAACACGTTTGTTATTGAATCATTGTATAAGTGATTTTTCTCTTCTCAGCGAGCCAAGGCTGCACTCCAGGATCTGTCCCCTGGACAGATCGTCATCAGTAAGCACAAGAATGGTCGCTTCTACCAATGTGAAGTAGTCAGCCTTGCAAAGGAGACTTTCTACGAGGTCAACTTTGATGATGGCTCCTTCAGTGATAACCTGTACCCAGAGGACATTGTGGTATGTTGTGGTATAGGACACATGGTATGAGTCAGTTCTTGCTTCTGTAGAGAATCAGGGGATCTGATAATTGTTCCCTGGCTCCTGTAGTGGCTGAGCTGTGCTGCAGGATGGCCTTAGGGATGTTACCTGAGAGTGACTTAACTGAGGCCATACAGGGACAGGTATAACAGGGAGTGCAACTAATCTCTGGCTGCTTAGCATGGTAGGTCTGAAGGAAAACTTGCTGATGCTTGCATGCCATCCCCACATCAAATACTTTGAAGTTACCAATGTTGGGATTTAAATGCAGATGACATAAATAGATGTCTGTCAGCTAGTTCTCCATCTCCTAAAATGGAGAATTGTTGGGGTGGTGTGCAGTGTAACCCCTTGGTGGTTTGCTGAATCTTCACATAAAGAAGCTGCTTACCTTCCTTGTCTCTCCCATCTTCTCTCTTTCTTCTAGAGTCGAGATTGTCTTCAGTTAGGTCCCCCTGCTGAAGGAGAAGTCGTGCAGGTGAGATGGACAGACGGACAAGTTTATGGAGCAAAGTTTGTCGCATCACACGCTATCCAGATGTACCAGGTATAAAATTGCTGTCTCAAAACTCATCACTCAGAACAAGCCAATCATGTTAACAGGGTTGCTGTAGGGGTGTCATGCTTGAACACTCCAGGGTAACTTACTTTCACTGTGTTAGCAATGACAGATGCTGGCAACAGTTGCTGGAAGTGATTGCTTGCAGCTTTATGTTCCTCTGGCTTCCTACTTGAAAGTGTCCACTTCTGAAAACTGCTGGTCTGCAATTCTTCATCAGACTCTTTCTGTAATTTAAACTACTTAAAATAAGTTTATTTTGCTTTTATTTTTCTTTTGGTGAGAGTGCACCGTGCCTTTCATGCTTCAAAAGGGATGAATATTCAGGCTGTATTAAAGTGAACAGGCAGACTGTCTTGTCAGATGTTAAAAGAATGTCCCAAGACTTGCTGGACTGTTACTGTCATGAGATTATTGAGGTTTTGATTCAAGTCTTTTGCAGTGTGCATAGCTGCATATGTATCTTATAAATTTCAAGTGGTAGAAGATTATATCACAAGAGAGCTCTGTAGGGAGAAGGCAACTTCTAGGGAGCTGTGGCAGGGTTTTAACTTGAGACTTCTGACAGAACAACTTCTGGTTCTATTCTAGGTGGAATTTGAAGATGGTTCACAGCTGATGGTGAAAAGGGATGATGTATACACTCTTGAAGAGGAGCTTCCTAAGAGAGTGAAGTCAAGGCTGGTAGGTAAACAGGGTGCAAATTCTACTAAAGAAGTAAAATTTGTTTTAATTTGTGCTTGAACAGCAACCTGAGCATGTGGCAGCAGCAGCAGCAAAATACAATCTGGTGCTCTCCTTAATCATTGCAAAGCTAAGTAGTTGATCAGGCTACAAAAACAAAGTTCTTTCTCACTCTGGAGAGAATTTCTCCTTCTGCAGTGTGAGTTTGTATCACAGAGTCACAGACTGAGAGAGCATGCCTTTTCATACTTGTATTCATAAGTTCTATTGTGTACTTCCCTTTCAAAGAATGGCCAAGTTCTTTCATTTACCCTCTGTTCTGAGAAGCTCTTAGTAGGGTTGCATCAAAAGAGCTGGCTGTTTCTTGACACTGTAAAATAATTCAGGTGGGAAAGGACCTCTGCAAGTCTCCAGACACCTGTTCCAAACAGGGGTAATTTTCAGAAAGGATTGTTCAGGGGTGTCTCCAATTAAGTTTTGATTATCACTAAGGGTGGAGATCCCACGCTCTGTTTTACCCCACTGCTTTACACTTCCCACTACAAAAGTTGTAGTTACAAACAGCACACTGGGGTGTCATGCTTTACAGCACAAACACACACACCCTGATGCCGATCTGTTGGCAGGCTCACATACTATTAGAGGCTTAAGAAAGAACGTATTATAGCTGAATTCTGTGACCAGGTGTTTAAACATGCCTGCTCCATAAAGCAGAAATTGTACTAGATTATTTGAAATTTGGAACAGCTGACTGTTTATTACTCTGAGAAGTGATTGTGAATTTAAATTAAGTGCTCTGTTACATTTGAAACTTGAGATTCTTTAGATCTCTAATTACAGTTCACTTAAACCTATCCCCAGACTTGTAAATCCAGTTTTCTTAAATATTTTTCTTTTTGTGTTTAGTCAGTTTTTGAAGAAAGCTGCATGTTCCCATGTGTCTTGGCTTGGAGGATGTGGAGACAGGGATTTCATCTGTGCTCTAGTGACTAATTCTTTTTCTCTTAGTCAATTGCTTCAGATATGCGCTTCACAGAGATCTTCGAAGAGAAGGAGGTCAGTCAAGAGAGGAAGAGACAAAGAGTGATCAATTCACGCTACCGTGAAGATTATATCGAACCTGCCTTGTACCGGGCCATCATGGAGTAAACACTGCCTGTGGCAGAGGAAGAAGATGCCCACCTCCCCCAAGGATTTAAATGTTCCAGTACAACAGGCCATATTTGGATGCTTTGAATCCAGGGCTTCTTCTGGGGTTTTGTTCTTTTATATTTTAAGGAAGCTAAAAGGCTGATGCTCTGCAGTAGCTGTAAGGCAGCTGTTGTATAGTGAAAGAGATCCCATTTGCTGAAGCTGATGCCTGCAGACTGCTGGTCTGAAGTTGGGTCCTTACCAAATAAGCCAGCTTGGGGATGTTGCTTTCATCTTGTTGAGCAGTCTTGCTTTTTATTTAGAGACAATTTGGACAGGTGGCAAACTCTTTGGGGAGTTGTTGCCAGGAATCCTGGCAGCTGCAGAATAGTGTGGTCTATTGTTTTAACTGAATAATGTTCCTGAATTTAGGAGTCTCCCTGGTGACCACACCTGGGCTTGAGCAGGCAGTATTACTGGTGCTGGAAATGGAACCTCTTTTATATTTATATCCTTTTTTTTTGTCGCAAGCAGCTTCAGTCTCTTGTTTCTCAGCACCTCCTTTCTGAGGTTGAGCTGTAGGCTGTTCAAATCTGAACAGACTGGAGGTGCTTGTGTGAACAGGTGAAATGTGAAATTGAATCCTGTAGGACAAATTATTTAACCTTCCATTTAATATTTTTGTTCTGATAGTGCTTTTGACTTACTTAATCATAAGTTTAATTGTTAATAGTATGTGCCTCAGAACCAGTGAAATCTCTCTGGAGCCTTGTGAAGTGCAGCCTTCTAACAAGAATAGGTGTTCAGCTCCCAATAGACATTCAGCTCCCAAAGAGTTTGTTTTGAGTTTCTCTAAGGCAATATGACTATAAAGGGACAGTCCTAACTCTCCCTTCATGAGATCCAAGCATCACAATGTTGGGGATGACAGGGCAGCGGTATCTGAAGCAGTGCTGCTCTGGGGCAGCACTGTCTATCATGTGTCCACGGGCTTTTGCTTGCAGCAGCTAATACTGGGTCTGAGACAGGTGAAGTGTGCACTGAGCTGTGTGTTCTGACTGAAAGGCTGTGCAGTGCTCTTCTGAAGCCGGAGTGCTGCCGTGTTGCTGTCTGGCAAAGGTTACTGTAGCATTTTTATCCAGTATTAGGACACATCTCAGTTGTGGTGGAGAGAATTTGCTAGCCCAGCCATAGGAGGCTGAGTTGAGCTGGGTAGTAGGTGTACCTGGAAGATGTGCCAACTTGCTCCTAATAATTTAAGCATTAACACACCGCAGTAGGAGCAGTGTAAATACATGTTCCCTTCCCGTTCTGTAGGAAAGGGATTTTAGGCTGTGGAGCAATTGGCCACCTTCTTTTTGCATGGAATGATGGGGTGGATTTTCCTACTGGAGAAAATCATGATTGTGTGTTCTCCAGAAACTGTTCAAGAGGAGAATTTTCTAATGAAACAGACCTAATGCATCCCTGCTTCTATAGGGACATGGCAATGTGTCTGCAAAGTCTGGATTTGTAACTTTTTTCCTTTTGTTACATAGGAACGCTATAAACCAAACCCTTCTGAAACCCCGGTGCATCAATTTGTGATTAGCAATAAAATGTAGTATTGAGTAGTGATACAACTCTTGATCAGAAAAGAAATAAACTGCAACTTTTATACAGAAAATCTTTAGCCCTACGTTTTTATAGGGTCAGGAGGATAAGTAGCAAAGATTTGCACACTTTTGCATAGAGGTAATCTGTCCTATTTTTGTGGTGGAATACCTTGTTCATCAGTATTGGAAGGCCTAAACAGATTCTGAAAGGAGATAATGGGGTTTGGGTTTTTTTGTTTGTTTGTTGTTGTTGTTGTTTTTGGTTTGTTTTGTTTGTTTTTTTTTTTTTCCTTTTACCATGTCCAAAACTCCTGGTCTCAGGGTATTAAATGGCTTTCTGATGAATGGGATAGTTGGCATGATAAAACCAGGATCTGTTAAGACCTGAGTCTGGTAGCTGCAGTTAATCTGGTCCAGGCAATAGGAATGAAACTGCACTTTGTCATCTGAGCTTGTATGTAAGCCTCTGAAGTGATGTGCTGTGAGCAAATGTGGAGAAGAGCTGGCCAGGTCTTAACAAACTTGCCTCTGTTCTGTCAGAGTTAATTTGGTATTAACTTCTCCTAAGATGAACACTACCTGTGTGTTACTGAAAAACATACTCCTTGTCTCAATCTGCCACTCTCTCTCCAGAGAAAAGGTACCTGCATTCAGTCTTTGTCCCTAAACTGCTGTAGAACTTAAATGCACCTTTTAGGTGCCAGATGCTATACTACCTGTGCTGCAAACACCTGGCTCAACAGCTTCATCCTAAAATGATGACCTAGTAGGAAATAGCTGGATTTGTTTGGTGTGGTGTTCTTGGGGTTGGTTCTTGGAGCTGCTCTATGCAGGACCAAGAGCTGGATTTTATTGATTTTTGTGTGTCCTTTCCAACTCAGGATATTCTGTGGTTCACTTACAGCAGCTTTTCCCACTCACCTCTGACAGTATTCAGTGACTTTCAGGAGCTCCTATGTATAGTATTTGTTCTGGAACAGGAGCTTTGTTATCTGTTTCTGGCACATTTTCTGCAGGTGCCAGATTTGCTCTTGTTGACAGTTGCATAGTTGATTGCACTGTGTTGGAAAGTGCTGCCATCCTGCACTCAGACAAAGGGCCTTCCCAGTTTTCCTGTCAGTTCTTGTGCTGCATCATTCAAATGTGAGCACACTGTTAACTGCTGCAGGGACTAAACTGTTTTAGGCTTCTCTCTGAACTTAAGATCAGTGATTCTGATGTTTAAGGGGTCTTTATTATCTGACTTTGTAAAAGCAATTTGGTTTATGGCTTGAAGCATAACAGATAACAGTAAAAGTTCTGTACAGAGCAGTTGTCTCAAAAGTACATAGGCTTTCCATTACCAAGTCTTCTATCATGTCTGATAATTTTCTTCAGTGGTTTTGGCTTTTTTGGAAGAGTGTTTATCCTTTTTACAGCATCATTCCAGTGGGGGTGAGGGGCTGCCAGATTATCAGCTAGTCAGGTGCTTCTTGAGTATATTCAGTACAAAATCATGCTCAGTGTGAGCTCTGGTTGCCCTTTGTTGGGTCCATTGCATGTGGTACTGCAGTCACTAGACCTCTTCACTTTTCATGAAACTTCCATCTGTGACTGGTTCAGGTTGGATCCATGAGGAGCAATTTTTGTATTAAAAAATAGTGGCTTGCCCTTAATTTAGGATGAGCTTCACAAGTCAGTGATAACTTTTCATAAGATTTTAAAAGGTGACTATATTCTTTGTAAAGCACCTGACGGCAGTAATGTTTCTGCCTGTGGCTGGACTTCTAGGAGACCTTTTTTTCTATCAGCAGACTTCTCAAATGACCAGAGGCAGTACTGTCAGTAGTAGGACCCATTCTCCTTTCTTCTTCCCTCTCTTTATGGTGTTTTTAGCTGGGTTGAATTGATTCAATTCAACCCAGCACTGTTTGAGGAGCATAGTCACTTATCCTAAGGCTTCCAATGCATCTCTATTCTTCCATTCTTTAACTGGGCTCCTTTTGTCTGACATATCTGCAGTTGTGCTTGTTTTCTAATGAAACATGGGGTGAAATCAAGACTGGTAGCCTGTATATTGTTTTCAGTTTCCTCAAGAAATAAATCTAATTTCAAAAAAGACAATCTGTAAACTAATTTAAGAACTAAAGCAATGGGACTTGGAAATTCTTACCGTGCTTCTAATTTTTCTATTAGCATTATTCTTTTTTAATATTCATCTCCTTAATGCTTATCTAATGAGTTCTCAGGTGTCTTTCAGAGACCTAAGTGGAGTTCTGTTATTTAAGGACTCAGTCTGGCTTGGCTGTTTAGCTAGAAAAGGGATGGAACCACAGAATCATCTCTCCTCATTGAAATACAGAGCTGAGACATCTGCAGTAAGAACTGAGCTGCCTTAGGTTCCTTTTGTAGCTGAGAGGGCCAGAAGAGGAGTCATCAGAAAACCTTACCTGGGTGCAGTCTCAGACAGCTCTGTTCTTTTCTTTGGTGTTGACTCTTGAATTTCACAGAGCTGGTTAAGACATGCTGAACTGGCAGTCAGGGAAAGGAGATTCTTCTACTTTCGCTCAGGGATTTTTGTTACTGATACACCCAGTATATCAGTAACCTTAAGGAATTTGCTTATTGTAGTGTTATTTCAGCTCATATCTTTGAAACCTAATGTGCCAGGTATTTCTATAGCTAGCTTTTGTAGTTTGGGGAAAATGATAATGGCTCCTTTTCCTTCACAAATTTGTAGCTACTACACAAAGCCTTTCAGTGTGGGCATTTAGGTTAGTGTAAAGTGTGTAGTATTTTCAGCTGAACATCAACAACAATATTGTTGCATTGCTAAAAGTTAAAATAAGCCTTTTTCCTCTTTTCCCATAATCAGTCTTCATTTTCCCACGTTGCTGTTAGAGCTGTTGAAGAGCTGCAGATTTCTTCCTTGGATGAATGAAGAGCACAACGCTCCAGGTGGCATTTGTTGCTTGGTTCCAGTAATGAGCATAGCTGAGGGTGTGTATCTGCAGTTTCCTTTGACCTCACCAAAATCATCTCCAGAGGAATGGGAAATATTCACCTGATTGCCATCTTTTCATGAAGCTGTGGCAGATCCATGCAGAAGCACTGCCACAGCCTCCTTGCTGCAGCATGAGTAATGTGACAACGCCAGCATCAAAACAGTTCTGACAGCACCTAGCAAATGAGAGAAGCATGTGGGAGGGTACTGGAAAAAGATTTAAATGGTATAGTGTGCATGTTAATTTTGAAACAAAACTGAGTGAGGTAGGAGAGCCTGAGAAGAGGTGTCTTTGGCCTGGAATTTTGCATTTAGGAAACGTTCTCACTCTTATGAATGGTTCTAGTGGCTGTAAATACCTTCAGTACACAGTGCAGGAGAGAAATGAAAAAGGCCTGCTGCCTGGGCACTCCTACCTCCCATGAGTTACTCCCTGGCAGCGTGGGCTCCTCATGCTGCCCCACACCCCAGGAACTGGGATGCTCTCACCATTATCCACACTGCTGGCTGAAGGAAGAGCTGCCTCCTCACAGGCTGTAGGCAAGGTGGGTGGCTGGTTTTCATATCCAGGCTGAAGTCCTCCATATGGAGTTGGGCTGTAAAGCCTGTCTTTATAGCCCAACAAGTATGCTATAGACCAAAGCAAACTACTTCAAAACATATAGTGACTCAATCCTACAGTCTTGCTGAATGTAGGGAGGCATGGCAGCGTGTTGTACCCATGCACCTCCAGGGACACTTCAGGCATGGGGATCAGATGGTTGTGAATGAGCTGATATTAGGTCATATGCTTGGACTCTCATTTCCTCAAGTGCTGCTGCTTCTCTTGAATACAGTATCTCTGCAACTTTTGGGCTAATGTTCTTGCCTATCCTCACAGCAGGGGTTAACTCAAACTTCCTCCCAAACAATTAAAAAGAAATTACAGTGTCTTGGGTGCAGGACAGTGTGCATGGATGCCTTTAGTGTGGGTGGTAGGCGCTGATAGGCTGCCGGTACAGGTACAGAGAGCAGTTAACTTGCAGACAGTTCCATGAAAAACAGAGTGATGTGATACAGGAGAGCAAGGAAACTGGTGATGGGGAACGGCTACACCAAAGGGGTAAGCAGCCCATGTGGTTTGGAACTGTGGTTGCCTGTGGTGGATGGCTGCCCAGGCTACTTGGCTCTGCAGCAGGAACGCAGCTTTGCTTGTTCAGGCCCAGCAGAGCCAGGGCAGGATGAAGAGAGCAGTTGTGTTGGCAGCCAGAGATGGGTCTGTCCTGAGTCCTCTCTGGCCTTCCCAGTTCCAGCTGGATAGATGTTTCTACACACTGTTTAACAGCTGGTGTCCACAGGGACTGGCAGAAGTGTAAATGCTCATATTCTGCCATTCTTTCATATGCAGAAGTAGCACAGGGCATTCTGTTTAGAACCTCAGCCATCCACACAGTGGGGCTGGAGCCAGCCCTGCTTTTCCTTGCTGGTTGGAGGGTGACTCCTGTGGAAGCAGAGGTCTGCAGTGCTGTCACCAGCAGGGAGACCCCTAACTTGGGCCCTCAGCACTGTGCAGAGCCTGGCAAGGGGAAAGGACAGAAAAAGAGATCTTGGCTCTTCTCCCTCCCCACTAGAAGCGGGTGAGGGGCTGCCAAGGGCTTTGCAGCAGGGAGAAGAAAGACGGCGTTCATGGGAGCTGCGTGACTCCGAGCTGGTGGGCTGGGAGCCAGGCACGTCAGCACCTGATGGGCCAGCACAGGAGGAAGGGCTTCCTGCTCCTCACTCCTCACCTTCTCCAGAGGAGCCCTTTCAAGAGGTCCCAGCCCAGTGTAGTGATGTCGCTCCAGCCCAGAACAGGCAGGACAGTGGGGCAGGACTGTTGCCTGTGTGGGGCATTGCACTGGCACAGTGTGCTGGGGAGGTCTTTCCCCAGGAGCCTGGTTTGTTCACTGCTACCCTGGACCATGCTGGCTGAGACAGCTGCCCAGGATCCCTCCTGCCTGCCTGTGTCCTCCACCAGATTTGGGGGACCTGGATCAGTCCTTTTGCCATCTTTGCAGACTGCAAAGAAGCAGCCTCCACTTGTGCATTAGCTGTGTGGAGGCTGCACAGATCATTCCCAGAGAGAGTGCAAGGCTAGGGCTGTGGGGGTGACCCTGGGGGCTGGAGAACCATCACCTCTCACAGCAGATCCCTGCCCCTTCTCCAGGCAGGCTGCAGCCTGCCTAGAGAATCCTTCCTCTAGAAGCCACTGGACAGAAGAGCCCTTGTGCAGCCTTTTTGGAGAGGTGCCTGGTACCTGCTGAGGCAGACTTTCCACTTCCCAGTGAATAGATGCCTGGCTGTGGCTGGGCCATATGGTGTTTTGGACTCTGCTCTCCCAGCACAACCTCTCCTCCAGCCTTACAAGCAGGTGAGATTGCTCAGGGCTCTGATCCCTGCCGACAGCTCCCTGCAGGCTGTTGGAGCTGCCAACAGTCTGGTGCAGGGGGAGGTGTGACAGGCCTGTGCTTGGAGCGTGTGCCTCTGGGAAGTGCCACTCAATCAGTGTGGCCTTGATGCTGGGTCACTGTTCCTGGAGAGGTTTGGCTGTGCAGGGGGCTTGCCCTGCTGGCCCGGGATCTGAGGAAAGCACACCTTGCGGTGAGGGTGAGTAAACAGCACTTCAGGTTTGTGGTCAAGGTTGATTGTGACATTGTGGGGACACCTCTGAGGCTGGGATGAAATCAGACTCTGCCTGCCTGCCAAGAGTCAATATCAGAGCCAGAATGTCTAGATTCACGATCTTATCCTGTAAGCCATTCCTACATGAGCTGCTACATCCTTCTGATTTCTCCAGCAGTCTCTGCTGCTTTTCCCACTCAGTCAGGTTTATTGGGTGAGCGATTGCCCGAGGCTCAGCGTAAGCAGTTGTGCTCACTGTCAGGCCATGTGGATTTGAGATGGGAAGGGAGGAGCTGGCAGCTTTGCCCTTTGGCAGCATGTTGCAGGGTACAAAGCCAGCCAGCCCTCTTCCTTGCCAAGCTGTAAATTTGGCCTCTTGCTCTAGCGCTTCTCTGGCTTTTCCTGTGGGCTGAGGGTTCATCCCACTCATGCTGTGGCTGGTCTGCTAACTTGTCCTTCAGCTCCCTGTGCCCTTATGCTTGCACACACAGTTCTGTCAGCTCAGCTGCCTGGGTGCACTTCTGACTCATCATGTGCTGCCTGGGCAGCTCCCCATTTCATTACTGTTAGGAGTTCATGGCAGGGCTGTGAAACTCCGTTCCCCTCTTCCCCACCCTGCTCAGTCCCATGCACCCAGGAGGGACAAAGCCTATGGAGCTGTCTGCCCTGACCAGGATATCCCTAGCAGTGATGCTGTGCTTGGCTGGGATGCTCTGTGCCCTGGTCTGTCCCTGGCATCTCTCTCCTATGGAGATCTCTGCAGCATAGCACAGGATCCCAAGATCCTGTGCCAGTGCAGGGCAGAGGAGCTGGTGCTTCCCCAGACATTCTGGCAGGGACCAGCCATTTCCATCTGCATAATGGAGACTGTAGCACAACCACCATCAACCCACTCTGAGATATTTTTAGGCCTGGCTGTGCTGATGAGGGAGAGATGACAGGCTCACTCCACATCCAAACCATGCGATGCCTCTCCCAGCTGCGGCCACCTGGTGCAATGGGAGAGGCGTGGGCTGTTCCCCCAGAGAAGGCAGCACTGACTGGGTGCTGTGGCTCTGGGCTTGCTGGGAGCAGCTACTGGTGCTGGATACCACCATCCTTCTCCCTCTGAACTTGTTCAGCTTCACTGCTTTTGAGAAAGCAGCTTAATGAATTCCCCAGGTCTCACTAGCTCTTGACATTAAGGGTATTTGCTGGCTTGTGAAGGAAAAGGAGGGACGAAGCTGTGGGACTGAAGCATGGCAGTGACACGCTTGCACATGCTCACTTGCTGTCACAGAATTGGGGAGCCCTTTCAGCTGAGGAGTTTGGCTTTTCTGCAGGGCCTGAGGCTTGCTGGAAAGTTCTATGGAAGAAGATATCAAGGCTTCCCCTTTTCATCAGAGCCCTGTGTGGGGCTGCAGCTGGTGGAGTGGGAGGAGCAGTAGTTTGGAGGTGACTGGGGTGAGCTGATGGAGGACAGGAGATCTGGGGCACAAGGCTGTCTCCTTCGGCCAGGCTTGTCTGAAGCTGGTCCCTCAGCACTGCTGGGGAGGCCTTGCATGAAACAGGTCCCCAGTGCCCTGGACACACACAATGACATAGTGCTGCTGGGCGGTGACATTGCCAAGCCATGACTGTGTTGTGGGTGCTGGCAGAGGGGAGAACTGTCCTGCACAGGATCTGTGGCTGGGTTAGAGGGGAGCTGGGCTGGACTGGAGCAGGCTGCTCTACCCAGCTTCACACCAGGGTCAAATGCCAGCCCGGGTGGGTTGCTGGACTCTGAACACAAGACTTGTCTGGGTGACTGCAGAATTAGGTGGTGCTAATCTTCCCCATCCACAGGAACCAGTCTGTCAAAAAGGGTGTCACTGGTACCAGCACCTCACTGTGTTTGTCTTAGCCCATCCCTTCATTGGAAGGACCAGTTCAGCTGCAGCTGCAAACCTCCCTCAGCTGGCTACTGAGACCTGGAAAGCTCCAGCCCTGAGCAGCTGCTTCTGCCTGACCCTGTGGATCTGCCAGTGTCCCCCAGCATAGCTGTGGCTCAGGTGATGGCTGCAGAAAGTTCATATTCCCTTGGGTGTGGCATAGGAAGTTGGTTCCCATGGAGCAGGGTAAAGAAGCTTTGTTGGAGAGGTGGGCCTTTGTCCCCACCTTCTTGTGGCTGGGTGGGATGGGCTGCAGCTGAAAACAAGGACTGCTGGCCTGGCTGGTCCTCCATGACTGCTGGGGCAGAGGCAGAGCCCTCCATTGGCTGGCAGCTCTGTACATTCACTGTTTAGGATCCCTCTTACTACACAAGGATCCAGTGTTCCTTAGTCCTGTTCTCACTCATACCAACATAGACTTGTGTGACTTCCAGTGATGTACTCGGGGGGGTTGAGGTGTTTTGGCAGCACCCTTCTGTCTGTGTCCCCTGCCTATGGCTGGCAGCTGCCTCTTCATGGCTGCTATTAGCCACATCCTGCCAGCAAACAGAGCACCCAGAGGCATTTCCCCCTGGCTGCTCTAACTCCCTGTTATGAAAAGCAGCTGCAAGAATGCACAGGTTGTCTGAATCTCCAAAACCAAGCATGTTCATGTCCTGCAGCAGAGCACCAGCCCTTGGCTCCATCCTGCAGCACAGGGGTCAGGACAGTGCAAACTTAGCCCTCAGCCCCTGCACCCTCTCACACAGCTCCTAATGGCCCATGTCATGCTTCTCTCCTTTCTTCCTTTTCCCAAGAGAGACCAGATAAGCCTCAGCACCCAGGAGTGGGGAAGAAAGGCACTGGGACATGGCAGGGCTACCTCAGCTGGCAGCTACCCTGCCAACCCAGTGCCCCAGGCCAGGCAGCTGCTCTCATGACCAACAGGGAAGCACCTCCACCAGCAGCACCAGCACTTCCTTCCACCACCTTCCCAGTGGCTGACAGTATTTGAGGTGGCTGGTGCTTTCCCTTCTTCCTCCCTCTCCTTGCCCTTGCTACTTCCCATCTCCTTGATCCCTTTCCTGAGCATCATGTTTGCCCTGGTCTCAGATGTGTAGGAGGTGGGATGCTTCAAGAGCATCTCTCTGGGCTCATGGCCCTGCACCCTGGGAGGTGTTATGTCCCTTGGTGCATGACAGGGTTTTCAGAGGGGCAGTCACCCACAGGGGTGCAGCCTGTGGCTCTGCAGACAGGACATGCCCTGGGAGTTGCTTGCCAAAGGCAGCATTGCTGACCATTTCCTTTGGGCACCTGGGGAGGAGATCAGAGTGACCCAAATGGGGAAGGTTTGTAAACCTGAAGTGGACACTGACTCAGGCACTTGTGCTGCTGTGCTTATGCTGTGGGTTTTGGCATCAGCTCACTTGGGCATGTATGGGAGAGACAGGTATGAGTAATAGAGTTGGTTGCTGTGCTGTATGAAGGTTGCTGGTGCATTACTTGAGTTCAGAGGCTCCAGTTCACCATGGAGCAATGGCGAGGAGGTTCAGGCTGAACAGGATGAAAAGAGGAGCCCATGGCTAGTGGCCCCATCACCATAGCAAGGCAGCTGAAGGTGCACAAGGGGTTGCTTCAGTGCAAGTAATTAAGTACTAAAGCTCCAGGCTGGAAATTATGCATTCCCTGGGTGAAGGGCTGACAATGAGCATTGCTGCAGGTAGTGTAATGCCACAGAGCCAGCTCAGGCTGTTGTACCTGTTTTTAGAAAGACGTGCATGAGCTGGAAGAGCAGGTGAACAAGATTGTCCTCAGGCAGAGCCCTGTGCACCTTTTCCACTGCCTTCTCTGGCTTGCAGGAATCAGTCCTGGCCTCCTTTTTGCTGCTGGAGCTGTTTGGACAGGAGATCAGGAGGGGTGCTTACAGGTCAGGGCAAAACAGCAAGCACGTCCATGCAGCATCTCTTCTTCATGCCTGAGCCAGCAGTGTCAAAAAATTTAAGTTGAGCCCTTAAACTTGTTGAGATCTAGTTGAGATCTAAACTTATTTTTCAAGCTGCTTCATGGTAGGGATGGCTGCCCCTGCAACCTTCAGTGACCATGCTATACGTAATTCCAGGCTTCAGTTTTTCCCATCTTCAACTTCTCACCTTTGGCTTCTGCACTTCCTTCTGCCCATACCAGTACTCTGCTCCTTCTGGCAGTGAGGAGACCCTCTCCTGGGGGAATGAAATAGCTTGTACTCCTCACACCCTATGCAGCCTTATTTGTCACATTTCCAACTCTTAGCTCCTTTTTTGTGGTGGTGTTGCTGCTCCTTGGGATTTCTGTGCCTGTTCTGAAGTTTGGATAGCTGTACCAGACATTAAGTTGGCTTTGCCAGAGCTGTAGCTCTGCTTGGAAATCCTCTCCATGCCCCTCTGACTCATGGCCCTCAGGCCAAGGTACTGCAGGCTCATGGCAACAGTCACGTGTGGGGATAGCTCTTTTGTAGCTTTTTTCCTTAATTTCGCCTCCCACCCTCACTTTCAGGAAGATTCTCCACTCTGTGGTACAGCCTGTCTTCTCCATTCCCAAGAACCTTCCTTTGCAGCCCACCTCTGGGCTGGGAGCTGTTATAATTTTCCCAGGCCATTCTGCTCATACTGTAGCAGCAAGCAGCATTCAGTGTTTTATCAGCCCCAAATGTAAGCCTTCATCTTGTTATCCAGATTATTGATATTAAGACCTATTAAATGGCACTGGATCGGGGGTCACTGGGGGTCTAGGTAGGCTTTCTGTTGTTGATGTCTCCCAATTAAGCCTTGGCTCATTGACAGATCTCAGAATGCAGCTGTTAATACGTGTAGTTGTTAATCTACCTGAGTCTTATTAATTCTTTATAATACATACTTTTAATTAAAATCCTGCAGCATTATTGAAGGCAGTGGAGAAGGCAAAGTGTTCTCTATAAATGCTCCTACTCTCAGCACCCAGAACTTTCCTTTTGCCCAGGAAGGATTTTCTCTGTGTAACAGCCTCAGGATGCCTTTAGCTGTGCTTTCACCTACAGTCTGGGGCTCTCTGCCATTTCTCTGCCCATTGCTTTGACCCTTTAGGTTATGCTGGCCTCCTGCCAGCTGACCATTCATTAACACATGTGTTTGGGAGAGTCTGTGATTAAATCATTAAATTGTTTGCAAATTACTTGGGTCTGTAGCATGAGTGTGGCTGGTTTGGGGAGCTGCAGCCTCTTCTTGTGCCACTGCTTTGCTGAATTCCCTCCTCTCTGTGACAGCACGTGAGATGGAGTCACTCCTGCCATTCCCATTTGAGAGGAGGCAGTGGCTGGATGGTGCCTGCCTGACCTGACTCTTCCAGCTGTTTTTACGGTATGAAAGGGGATGGGGTAATGCCTGCCTTGAGAGCTCAAGATGAAGCCATTGAAGTTCATTGCCATCACAGTTCTAAGCATCTCAGAAATTCAAGTTTATTCAGCAATCATCTCAGAAATTCAAAGACAGCACTTCTGGCTTCAGAGAGGCAGCATGGCCACAGCTGGAGCTGGGTTCATTCAAGGTTCCTGCAGCACTGGCATGAAGAAATGCACTGTGATATCCAGTGATGGCACCTGGGCTGAGCAAGGCTCCCTATTTCACTCCCAGATCTCAGGTGGGCTTCATTGGGGAGGCTGCTGGGGGGGAGGTTATTTTACCCGGTTTCTTCAGGAGTAGAATTAAAGAGGGAACCTTCATCTAGCCTATTTTAAGAGGCTGTGTTCATGGTGTGCAGCCTGGTAACTAGTCAGTGCACAGATTCTATGGTGACCATTGTCACTCTGGACAGAATGGGTAAAATATTAACAGGCATTGCAAAATACTTCCCAGACAGTCAAACCAGTCTGCATGCCAGCAGGCACTGCTTGCTTCTGTGCTCTCCTCTCTTTCATGGTGCAGTAACCTACTGGGAGCAGGACATTTGCTCCTGGACAGCTCACCAGGGCTTAGCAAATCTTCCTAAGGCCTGCCATGCTCAGCTCCCTAAGCCCCCCCCCAAATGTGGCAACCATGACATCCATGATTCTAGGACGAGGGAGCAAGTGAGGGAGGTGTGTGGGAGTGGAGGTGTCTGCAACACAGCAAACTCCATTCCTCAGTACCTGGATGTGCAGCTGAGATACAGGTGGTTCTAACCTGCCAGCAGGGGGTCTGGAAAAGATTCGAGACGATCCTGCCTGAATCCTTATCCTGATGCTATGGTAGAAAGGACTAATGCAGCCCTTTAAGTCAGAAAATAGGAAAAGCAGATTAAATCCCTCTGTCAAAGCATTAGGGAGGCTTGTTGTGGGATTCTATATCTTGAAAAGGATTCAGGGAAATCAGAGAGGCTCTATAGAACAGAAACACAAAAAACGGCTTGAGGGTGGGAGGAAAAGCCTGGCAGAAAGAGAATTAAGCGACTCAGTATATTTAGCTTTTCAGAAAGACGGATGAGAGGAGGTTTGCCTGCAGCATATGTGTAGTGTCACAAAGAGAAAATGCCAGGCTCTGAAAGGCTCTTTAATCAAGCAGAAGGCAGAATAAAATGGTATGTCTGCAAGCTGAAGCCAGACACAGGGAGGTGGGATGCTCTTCTGAACGTGAGGGTGAGGGACTCCTGAAACAGACCCAGAAAAGTGGGAGTCTTCAATGATTGTCTTCAATTCAAGCCTACCTCCTCTCTTGGAAACTATGAGTGAACCAAACATAGTGTATTGGAATTACTGCAAGGAGATGAACTGCTGAGCAGGGTGCTGGGCAGGGACTTGCACTTTATGACTGCCTGCCAGGTGGGCCCATTGGGTCACATCATCTGAGGAAGATCCTTGGAAAGCTGGTCCACTCAAGCAGAGCACTTGGGGAGGCAATCAGGCAGGCTCCAGGTGTTTACCTGCTCCCAAAGTGGTAAGTGTGATTCTTTGCTGTTCAAAACATCTGGAGGGTGGCAGAATTTTTGAGCCAAGTTCAGATTGTTTTAACTTCTTTTGTATGGGCCTGGTGCTGATGCTGTATAACATTTCTGTTCCTAGAGTAGCCAGAGCACCAGATATGTAAAGTGTTCTCCACAGTCTGATCATGTTCAGAGTCTGCATTTAAGAATAATACATAAGGAGTGTGTGAGATGAAACAAATTTGGTCAGAGAGATAAGATAAACTACAAGTGTTTTATAGCCCAGATTGCATTCCTTGAGCCTGTGCATCAGCAGAGGTAATCTCTGTCTAGCCATTACTGAAAGAGATCTTTGCTGTGGTATATAGTGGTATGTAATTAATCATAAAATATTGCATTAATTAGGATTGGGTCTGATTTGATGACATTTAATTTGGGGAGAAGGAGTACAGTGTGAGTATTAGAATAGTAATTTTTATAGGGTAAAGAAACAAAATGAGATTAGAAGTCTCTATGAAGGAAGCCTGGAGGCTGATGTGTGTATTTGACATCTGATGCAGATAGTTACAGCCTAACTTAATTTACTGGTGGGAAAAGATGCTGCTCAGCATCTCCTCATGCACATGAGGGGAATTTGCAGAGCAATTCTGGCATGCCTCAGGTGGGCTCCTTTCAAAAGAAGGGCTGAAGGAAGCTTTGCTTGTGGTCATGGTGGTGTGTCCAAGTCATGCTTAGTCCAACATGAATGTCTCTGCAGCATTGATGCAGGGACACAGGGGTAGGACCCCTCACTGCCTCCTCCAGGCAGTGACCAGCCCTAACTCTTTTATGCTACCTGCTAATACAGCCACCAGCTGTGCCCTCTGTCAGAGCCTTTTTTCTCCAGGTCATAGCCAGTGCTGCCATAGGAAATTCTCTGCAGACATATGGGTAGCTACAGGTTCAGCTGGTTTGCTGCAAGTGGGTTTTGTTGAGCAGGATGGGCTAGATCACTTGCCTGATCACTTGGTCAGTTTGGCTTTAAAAAGCTCCAGAGCATTCTGGAAAGCAGCACAGCAATATGATAGGATTTAATCAGACTTAATTATTCCCCTGCTGTCTATCTCCTAGCAACATCCAGCTTGACATCTGCCTGCGAATGAAATGTGTAAGCTAAGTGGAAACATGTTCAGACTAAAGTCCTGCTACTTGAACCAAATCACGCCACTAATCATTACCTTAATTCATCTTATGGCCATCAAACAGCTGCCAGGCACTGGTACCTGATTTTCCAAGATGCACAGCGCTCACCTTGTGAGTTTTTTCCAGGCTGGCAAGGAGGGTGACTTCATCCCGGGCTCTTTGCAGCACACTGACACCTGATAACGGGGTTAGAGTTTCCTGAGTGACAAACACGGGCTCAGGGGCAAGCCCCAGACTTGTCGCTATTTGTCTTCGTGCTGTAGGTCCCTGCTTATCTCATCACTGAAATCACATCACCCGCTGTGCCCACACACCGCGGGGTTCAAATGCGGTACGGGGGCGGTTTAGGTGAAGCTTGGGGACAGCTGGAGCAGATGTGGTGCAGTGGCAGCAGGCAGTGCAGCAGGTCCGTGTCACAGGGACAAGGGCGGTTGAGGCAGGGAGATGAGAGCCAGCTTACGCAGACGGAGGGATGAAGAGGGGAAGAGAGGAGCAGGCATAAAGCAAGCGTTTGTGAAGTAAAACTGGGCTCCAGCCAGACACGATGTGGCACAGGAGCCGGTGGAGCTGCTGGAAGAAATGAGCCCGGCAGCAGAGCTGGGGCCATAGGAGGAGGCTGCCTGCACCAGCCCTGGCTGCCAGCTCGCCCTGAAGCTGGAGGGAAGGAAGCTGCCTCAGAGCAACGAGCATCCTGAGCAGGTCAGCCCTTCGAACTGGGGGTTGATGGGCCAGTAGCTTGGGGGCAGATCTACAGACACACCTCCTCACTGGGATATTGGTGTCAGTGATACCTAGGTGCTTGCATGAGTCTGTTGGTCTCTTGTGCTGTCTCTAGAAGTTTTTGTTGGCATCCAAAAAACCTAATGGTGTATCACTGTGACACATGTCTCCCTTGTGTCTCTGCAGAGGAGCATGATAGCTCTGGAAGCCTGGCTGCATGTGTGCCACACTAGCAACCACCTTGTACTGACTTCATTTGTGCGGAGCACAAAGTGGGGTTTCTGGCTGTGAAAATGGGGCTGTATGAGCCCCCACCAGCTCCCCCTGTGACCAGCAGGAACTTGGCCTTTTGTCAACTGCCTTTGTCAACAGAGCTCAGCCAGCTCTGTGCTGTTCGAGGCAATGTCTGCCGTTCAACATCCGCACCTGGGCTCACCTCAGTGGGAGCTGCCACCATGCCGGACATGATCTTACTAAGATTCCCTTAAAAACACCTTTTGTTTTCCTTCTGTTTTCAGTGACAAATGGAGGGTCACTGGATTGGTCACTAAAGATGCAGGTTTATTCCTCACTGTTTCTTTCCTTTCAGATGACTTTGCCCTTTTTGACTAATAATTTCTCTTTGTCATTCTATCCCTGAGAGGTGTTACAGTAGAATTTGTCACTTGCCCTCTGCCTAAGGACCATTAGATGGCTGTGGGGCCAGCAAGAACGAGGCAATGCTGTGGGAAGGTTGCGTTGGAGGCTGTTCCCAGTGCTGCTGTGCTCAGAGGGCAGCTGTGCAGTGAGGTGGAGACTCACACACCGGGAAGCGCGTGGAAGCTGCACTGTGTGCGTGGCGTGAGCTGTGTTGTGCTGAGGAAGGGCAGCTGGGGGGGTCCGTGCCACCCGGCCTGGTGTGGGCCAGGGGTGGAGGCTGTGCCCCAGCGGGGAGGTGGCGCGGAGCCGTGCAGGGGCTGGGCAGCGCCTTGCTGGGTGTGCAGTGCTGGGAGGGTTTGCAGAAGCCGGATTGGTAGTGTGAAGGCAATGGCCGGACGGTGCAGCAGGGACAGGTGCTGTGCGGGGCAGTGATGGAAGCAAACTCAGGGCTGCGTTGCCGTGTGGTGGCTGCAGCTTGGCTGTGCAGAGCGGGGTAGGGCTGAGAGGCCATCGGAGCAGTGCTGGGCGTTCGGGCAGTGCAGCACCTGAGGGGAGGCGCAGAGCAGTCGGTGCAGTGCCTGGAGGGCGGGCGATACCGTGTCACTGCAGGGGCAGCAGCTGAGGTGCCTCAGCTGGCGGAAGGTGCAGCGCTGAGGGGTGACAATGCGGGAGCCTCACAGCGGGTACAGTGCTGGCAGGGGCCACCCAGTGCCATGCTTGGAGGCACCGCAGTGCTCTGGAGGTGCCGCGGCGTGACTGGGGAGCGGTGCCCGGCGGCGGCCGTGAGGGGGGAGCGGGCCCGGGCCGTTTACCGCGGCGCCACCGCCACGCGCTGATTCTGGAGGGGCGCTCTGCGCACGCGCACCGCGGCCCTGCCGCAGCGCTCCTCCGGCGGGGACCCCCTGCCCGCGCGCCATTGGCTGCGGAAGCCTCCCGCGATTGGCCGGGGCGCGACCCCCCGCGCCGTCCCATTGGCCGGCGGCAGCCGCTATGCGGGCGGGCCCCGCCCCGCCCCGGCGCGCCATTGGCGGCCGCGGCGCCCCCCGGCGGCGGCGGGTCCCGCTGGGCGCGCCCGGCATGGCGGCGCCCGCAGCCCCGCGCCCGGGGGGCGCAGCCGGCGGCCGAGCGCCCGGGGCCGGCGGCGGCCGGGTGAGGAGTGGCGGGGGGGAGCGGGCGGGCAGGGCCGCTCACGGCGGCTGGCGCGCCGAGCGGGGTCCGGCGGGGCGCGGCGCGGCGCGGCGTAGCGTAGCCCGTAGCGGAGCACGGCGAGGCGGGGGCAGCCCGGCGGTGGCGACGCTGCTGCCCGTTCAAACCCAGGCTCCAGCCGGCTGCTGGCGGCTGTCAGCTGGCGGACAGCTGCCGTCCTGGCCGGGCCCGGCGAGCCCCTCTCCCCAGGCATCGGTACCGCCTCTAGGGCAGCGCGTCCCCGCAGCGCGCAGTGCCCGGGGCTCCAGCCGGGAGCAGCGCCGCGCCGGCCGCTCCCGCGGGCCCCCCGACCGCGGGACTCCCCGACTCTGGGGGCTCGCTCTGTGGCGTGTCGGCAGGACGCGGTGCTCGCCAGGCCTCGGCGACCAGGGCCGCGCTGGTCTCGTTTGTGTGAGGCGGCAGGAGCGGGGCTGATGCTCGGTCACAGCGTGGCGGTGACCCCCGGCTCTCCGGAGCGGCTCTGACCCTGTGGCGGCCAGAACGGGCGGCTGCCCCGGGTGGTTCTTGTTCCGTTGATACGCTTTGGGGAACGCGTGTGTTTTATCTGGTGGAGGAACACCGTTTGGGATCTGTGAGTTATGGTGGGTATGGGATTGCCCGTTTTGAAGAGGATGCCCGTTGGAGAAGGTGGCTCCAGCCTCAACCTGTTTTTCTTTCTCAGGTCATGTAGAAGAACAGATTTAATGTGAAGATGGGACTCTTGGTGTTTATGCGTAACCTGCTGCTAGCCCTCTGCCTCTTTCTTGTACTGGGATTTCTGTACTATTCTGCTTGGAAGTTGCACCTTCTCAGATGGGAGGATTCAAGTAAGTAGGGGAACGGTGCAACTGTTTCTGGGCTCCCTAAATCGCCTGTTAAATAGTTGCAATAGGTGGTTCCGATTTAGTAGTATTAGAGGGATGTGATTAAGCCCACTCAAATGCTAGAGCTTTTAGTATGCTTAAGGGGTCGAATTTGTGACTACCTAATGCTCTTTATGGCTTTACTTTTATTACTGGGTACAAGAGCAGATTCATGCTTTATAAATCTAGTATTAGAGATCTCAGTTCTTGGAATATTTTGTTAGTTTATGATTCCTAATTGTCAAAATAAAGAGTTTGTATGTTGAGGCTTTTATTTCCTGAATCCTCTGCATTTTAACATATCTAAGAAAAGTTTGGTTTTTTCCCTCTGGTGAATTTTGATTTCTTTCTGTAATCATCTGTGCTGGTTATCTCATCATCTTACTTTGTCCTTCAGAAATCCCCATCTTCCATTTATCTTCCATGTTATTATCTGCCAAGTATCTGTCATCTAAAGGATGTCTTTCAACCTTTTTAAGTCCAAAAAGACATCTGACCTCATTGAATACAATCTGAGGATTGTACTGTGCAGTAAGGCCATAAAAGGTCACAGTTGCAATGAAATTAGGCTGAAGTTTGATTGCTCAGTTGCTGCTCTTATTTTTGTTTGTGTTGAATTTGCCTGCATGCAAGAACTGTTTATTTAAAACATAAAAACAAGAAAACAGTTCCCTCCTCTCCCCTCCTGCCCAAAACACGAGCCAACCTTCCTTGCAGCTGTTCCACAGGCTGTTTCAGATGTCTCAGAGCTGACTGTTGCTCCCTGGATCAGTAGCTGAGAAACACTGATCCAGAACTGACAAGAAGCCGCTGGTCAAATTTCTTCTTTGCTGTACTGTGTTTTTGTGCATACTGGTAGAGATTTCTGCTGCAGTGCTTCTTGAACTTCACATTTTTTCTACCTCTGTGTGGTCCAAATCTGTTGTTGTGTGCTCTTAAGAAGTTTTGCATGATGACGGATGATGACTTGGATATGACACTTGTGCTGATGCACTGATTTTGACAGGGAACTACTAAGGTGCCTTGGACTAGAACAAGTATTGTAAGACTAAATTTGTAAAAGGAGTGTTGCATAGTGTTTTTCTGAGCAGGGATTTTTTTCTTAAGGTTTGTGCTTCAGAGAGGGAGTTAAAAATCTTCATTATGTGTTTCTGCAAAATAGCACTTTTATTGGCAAGATGTAGAAAATCCTTCCTGCATGAAAATAAGTACAGTTGTGGTTAAAGAGCAGTTTTTCCATATCTGCTATGACATTATGATCTCTTATGAAATTATACCACCTACCATCCTTTACTTCCTTCATGCCACCAGGAAATCATGTTAGACTTCCCAAGGCCTGCAAAAAAAAAACTTTCATGCCACAACTTGCATGTGATCTTTGTTACAAATGAAGAAGCAGCTATGTGTTTGTGTTATGCACCACGGTTCTGGGGAGGGTTCTAACTTTCTGCAATCCTCTTCAGATTTTGTGCCTTGAGCTTTGTGTGCTATTTGTTGTTTTACAGTCCCTGGGAGGTTTTGTGGTAACTTTGGGTTGCAGTGCAGTGTTGCAAATCTGTGTGCAGACGCTGTGGATTTCTATAAATGGAACACTTTTACCTGGAAAGATGACTCTTAAGTTGCAGCCTAGTTACAGTGATTTCTGTTGAGTGCATTGGCTGCTTTTGGGTAACCAGGATGTTCTGACAGGAGCACTGTGAGGTAGCATAACCGACCTTTGGTTTGGTGTGTCTCCCTTTTTTCTGATCTTTTGTGTAAAATGTGTCATTCATTTATTCTTGGAAGTTGCAGTGCTTGCATTAAGCTTCTTCAACCTCTACAAAGAGATGATGCTAGCTTGAGGATTCAGCTTGCTGTTCTTTATCAGTTGCCACAATTGATTTAGGCTGTACTGTTGTTCCTTCTAGACACTTTTGTGGGTTGTGTCTTAAATATTGGATGAAGTTCTTTGAAATATTAGCATAAGCAGCAGCCTAATGTAAAGGGGCAGATGTTACTTTTGAAACAGTAAGGATGGTACCTCTTTTCAATTGGTCTTCAGACTTTTTTTTATGCATCAAAACCCATTTTATTTATTGTGTAATTTAACATGGGAGGAGCTTATGCAAATATAAAGTAGAAATTTAAAACCCCATTTTGGGAAACTTCATATGAAGAGTTAATGTTAAATAAATAATGTTCTAGAAATCAGCTTTGGAAGTAAACAAATGACAGATTTGAATTACTTATTTAACTGATTAGGCCTTCTTGAGAATATGTAATATGATACAATGTATAATGGGGCAATTAGACTTTGTATTTGCTGAAGGGGAGCCTTGCTTACTTCAGTGCCCCAGATAAGTGGTGCATAACTGTTGTGGTTTTATTTCCTGAATTACAACGTAGTGTGTGACCTTGTAAATTTACTTAAGATTGATATGATAATACTGATGTCCCCAAAGGCAAAACTAAGTCAGATGTGTTAATTTTGGGTCCTTAGTAATCAAGGATTATTGATTTTGTGTGAGTTATCTTCTTATTAAATTACTTGCATTTTTCTTGTGACTAGTGCCTTTCGTCTGTTTAATAGTGACTCCCTAGCTTCAGCAGTGACATTATTGTTCTGTTCTTTGTTCTAGAGGAGGTATGAAACTAAGCTGATCCCAGCACGTGACACCTTTGCAATCTCTTCAGAGACTGCCTTTAGTAAACTTGACACCTGTGTTTAATAATGGAAATAAACAAATTTGTTGTAGAGTATGGTGGAAAACACTTGATCTGCTTATTTGCTGCTTGTGTGGTTTGTTCACTTAATGTTTTAGAAGATGCCTCTGCTTATCCATTCTCATGGATGAATTTGAATGGTAACTGTAAAGTGGTTTACTGTGTAAACTAGTCTCCCTGACACTCGGATGTTCATGTATTTAGCTGCTAAAGTAAATAAATAGCTAAATTATTTTGTTTATATGTACATCTGATCTCTACATAAACTTCGAAATAGACTGAAAGATACACATCAATGTTTCTTTTAATGTTCCCTAAACATTAAATGTTCTCCTCTTAATGTTAAATCTGTGATGCCTTAGTGAGTACTGCGAGATTATTCTCCTTCTTGAATGACTCTCCACCTTGCCAAAATACAAAGGAGAATAGGAAATAATTAATTTTTTAAAAGGCTTATCTTTACTGTGACAGGAATAGATCGAATTCGGCTAATGTGAACTAATTAACATTGAATTAAGTTCAACTCCTTCTTCTGTTCAGACAAACCTCCAGTGGTTGCTACCCTTCTCTCATCCTTTTAGTGAGCATCATGACTGGCTACTCTTCCCCAAGCCTTGTTTCATGTCAGTGGCAGAATGTTAGTTCTCAGAGCAGCAGCTAAGTACAAAAATAAGGGGTGTAATGCTGAATGCAGGAGGACCCTTGAGTTCTGGTGATGGTTGGGAGTACATGAGCAGGGTTTAGGACAGATTTCCTTTTTCTCTTTCCTGATGTTTGTAATGCAGCTTCAGTCTCTGACAGTAGTGGTAAGAGACATGCACTGCCCCTGCACATTCTTCCCAGACAGGCAGTAACAGTGGATTCCACTCTCTGATGATGTGTAGAGTTGCACGGAGGTGTGCTGAGCACATAGAACTGATAATGTGATGTGGGAGACACTCAAGGAAATAACTAGTTTGTAATCAGGCTTAGCTGTCCTGAACATTCTAGAAGGAACTTAGAGGAGCAAATAATTGTACTGCTGTTCTTTGTGTTTCTGGCCACTTGGTTGTAGGGGAATTCTTGCAGAGTAATGGTAGTGATAGGAGCAGGCCTTGAAGGTCTGAGACAGGTGCAGCAGCTCCTTTCCTAGTAACTTCCTATCCTGTTCTTTCCCTGATGCATTTGGCTCTGAGGAGGAAGGATGGTGTTGTCTGTACCAGTGTGAAGATACAGCTCGTAGGAGGGTGCACTGTTGTCTTAGAAAAATATGGTGGGAGATGGAGTTTCTTAACCTGATATGTGTGTAGCTGATTTTGCAACTTCAAAATGAATGTGTTGTAAGGAATGATTCCATTACAAAGCATCCTGGCAATGGAAATATTGGACTCATTCCCCCAAGTCAGCTTTTACTTTTTCCCTCTCTCGCAAAGTATTGAAGTATACTTGGGACAAGGACAGTGATGCTATTTTCTTGTTCTCTATTGTATTTCTTTCTACATTAGCATTGAACTACTGTAAAGAAATATATACTCTGCATGAGGTACTTTTGCCAAAACCCATGTTAATACAGTTTGAGCTTGTCAGTTTGAATGTGGTTTTTGAAACATCTCCAGGTATGTTCTGTTGATGTCTCCTTAAAAAAGTCAAGTCACTATTCTGTCATCTGTTGCTCTGTGTTATTTTCAACTCTAATTCTGGCAAAGCAGCCAAAGAGATAAAGCTTTGGGAGGAGATTTTCCAAAGGTATTTCAGGACCCTTATCCTTTTTACTCCTTTTTCTTTTTAATGTCTGTTTCCAAGGAAACTGAGGAGACATAAACAGGCAAAACTGACTCACTTCTGGTTGCAGGTTTTTAATCTGCTTGCATTTCCATGGAAACCAGTCATGCAGCAAAAAAGGCTGAATTAATCAGAAGCAATCAAACCTTTATTATCAATATAAATACTGGTTTACCTCTTTCAAAGTAAAATGGTACTTTTGTCAATTCTTGTATTAGGGTCTAACAATGTACTGAAGAAATGGATCTTCTTGCAAAGAATTGGAAAATGTTTACTCTTTCTCAGGTGGCTCGTGGATGTGTGCTGGTATCCAGCATGGATGTGTGCAGCTGCTGTGTCTTGGGCTGCTGGGAGTGTCTTTTGTTCTGCGTCAAGGGTGTGGATCTTACGTACACTGACATCTGACTTCCCTCTGTTCTTTGTTTAGACATTCATTTGGTGTGTGAGCAACTAGGCCATGGGGACAAACTTGTCCTCTTTGTGGAGAGAGTCATGTAATGGTTT